ACCGTTGTATGACCATTTTAGACCACTGACATAATGATAATATATAATAATAATTCAAGTATATCCTTTCAAACTGCTAGTCACATCCTCATGTAAATGGCAATTTATCGAGTTCATTTTTATTTATCGTACGATAAGTCAATTAATTGCTTATCGCAACAGGCACACAATAAAACAGTGGAAACAAACATGTGTTTTTCATTAGTGAATGAAACTGTGTACCCAAAGTTGGCAACTGTCAGAGCCTGAGAAGTGCAATTCAACATCTGGCTCCAGTCCAGCAGGTGGAGACAGGGAGCCTAGGGTCTGTGATTCCACTGAGAATGTGGCTGCTGGTGATATATTTTTGTAAATGTATTAATTTGAACCATGTTTGATTAGAGGAATTATTATTTCTAGTCCTATGAGGTAAGAAGCTAAAATATAAGATGCTGGAATATAATTTACTTTGTTGAGATGCATTTACTTTTGATTAAATGTTTAATTGTAAATTGATTATGGAGCAGAAATGAAAGAGCTTGTTAAAGGATGGCATGTTTTTCATTGAAATGTTTATTTTCCTAAAGTGAATGAAAGTATGTTTTGTGTTAAAGGTTTTCAACCTATATGATGCATCAGGAGGCTAACAAGAGGCTGAATGAAGCAGAAAGGAATCTGCAATAACTCAAAATAAAGAGGAAAGATTCAAATTTGAGTTGTCCTATGTGTCCTTTTGGAGAGAATCAAGCCAATTTCAAGTTTAGGCAGGAGTCAATCAAACAAACCAGATCACAACTTGACAGTTGAAAACCATTGCCAAGCAATAAGGACTAAAGGATCAAGAGCCTGGAAAAGTCGGAATAAACCAAACTGTCTGCAGTAAACACACACCTCAACAAAATGGTGGAGGAAGCCTTAGGGAAAAGTGTCAAGCAGCTCAAGCAGGAGAGGACAATGGCTAACGGCCCGTCCACACAGCGGCGTGCGTTGAAGCTTGCCGGCGGGCATGTCTGAAACTCGACCAGCAACCAAAGCTCACCAAGAACAGCCGGAATTCCCATACTCTCTGCTAGAAAGTGCCGGCGGTGCTGCATCGCGTTTGGAGGCAGGACCAAACCATTACATGTAAATAGAAGGGGGTGTACAGAGGCTTTGGATAATTAACTTTTGGAAGAAAATATGTTAAATGAATTGTAAGTTTAGTGAGTACATTATCGATATAACGTCCTATTGATGAATGATGAAAGGTTACTTAAACATGTTTTTCTTAATGTTCTAAAATAGTTTGGGCCCCATGGTGAGGGTGTTTGGGGTGGCCAATAGGGTGTTTGTTTGTTTGTTTGTAGCCTTTATTTAACCAGGTGAAGCCCCTTGAGATCAAAAGATCTCTTTTTCAAGGGTGACCTGCAGGACATTAGTTACACATGTAACATAAAAACAACAGAACAACAATAAGGATGACATACAACATAATGTACAGGGTACAGTTTACAAACTCTATTTACAGTGACAGGTACCATGAGTATCAAACAGCATGTCACCCAGCCGAGATTTAAAATGATGCAGGGGAACCAAAGTGCTCAGTTTTAAACATGTTTGCAGACTGTTCCAATTTAGTGGAGCTGCACAACTAAAAGCTTTCTTCCCTAAGACAGTCCTAGCACTTGGCACATTTAATAAAGGGTGGCCAGGATTCACCCTCCAGCTCCGCTACTGCGGTGTTGTCTCTTAAAGCGTGTTTTTTTTTGTAAGCATTGTAACAAATGTTCACGGGTCATGCTGATCACTTTTACACAAACCAAACAAAATCACAATAAACCATTTATTTCCACCATTAAAAATAGACTAAATATCTCAATGTACAATAAACATTTGTGGCGACAAATATTATCATTAGCTTTATAACGTTTTTTGTATGGTTTCAAAGATACATTCTTGTCCTTTTTTTTTTTTTTACACCAGGCAGCAGATGTTTGTTAAAGGGAAACACAGCCACAAATAGATATCGTGTTTCTCACAAACCTTAACGAAGTGTCAAATACATGACAGCGCAAAAATACATTATTTGGTTTGTTGGAAAAGTAAGAGCATGCATATGTTGTTGCGCAAGCTAGACAACTGCAGCAGATTGTGCCTTTAAATAACCTGCGATTACTCACAACCTGCATCCGACCGCGTGGCCTAATGGATAAGGCGTCTGACTTCGAATCAGAAGATTGAGGGTTCGAGTCCCTTCGTGGTCTCTCTTTAGCCGGCTCAGACAGTATGGGCTTGGACTGACCAGACCTCAAATACGGAGTGTGGACAAGTACTTGGAGAGGTCCCATACCTCATTCACACCAACGGTGTTTCAGGGCCGGTTCGGAGCTGGAGCTTGAAAAGCACCAGGTTTTCCTCTTCACACCGCAGCGGAGCAGCCTCTTAGCTCCGGAATCCGGTTCGTTTCAAGCACCAACAAATTGTCCGGCCAGAGCAAAAGCACCACATACGTCACGCTTACGTCGAGGCGGGGGCAGAGACAGATCAACTCCTGAACAACAACAAAAAGCCCGCGTTTTATCCAGTTTGTACAACGACGGAGAAACTTAACAAGAGTTTCAGTGTTTCTGCCATAGACTGTATATAAAGGTTCTGCTCATGGTGAAGCAACGTGTCTGCGTGTTAAGGTGGAACCTGAGCATTCACGTTGATCACCTCTCATTATAAATCTATAAAACTATAGATATTAAACTTTACTTCACGTGTTCATTTGAGAACAGCTGTTACATACCTGGGTGAAGGTTACAGTTCATTTAAATGAAAGATACAACGTTACTCCACACTCATGGTTCAGTCCACCTTAAGAAATAAGACCGACCTCGTTGTGTTTTAAAAAAACCTTTATTGACACGAGTACACTTTTTTATAAGAATATAACTAAACCACAGAAATGACTCCAGAAAAGCTGCAGATAGAGACATAAGAAATGAATGCAACTGATTTCATCCGCGCGGTTTGGCTTTATGAAGCAGGCACGCAAACGGTTACGTCATGACGCAATGACGATGACACAACGACGCATTACCAGTCGGACTCTGGGCGGTGTGAAAAGAGCCAGAGATAAACCGAAGAACTGGTTCTGAACCTGAAAAGCTCTAGCACGGAGCTTGAACCGGAGTTGCGTTGATGTGAATGAGGTACCAGTTCATCCCCTGCCCTGACGTGGACCACGGCATTGCTGCCCACTGCTCCTAGTAAGACTTCTGGTACTAGGATGGGTTAAAAGCTTTATATACAGTCAGTGGCGACTGGTCATTAGGGGCAGGTGGGGCACAGCCCCACCTAGTGTCAGCAGAAAGTATTAAAAGTAATGATTACAAAAAAATGCAAAAAATAAATTAAAAAATATATTAAATATATTTTAAGATCATGTTTAATCATCTGATTCGTCTGTACATTGCTGTTTTAGTCTGTGTTCTTCTAATTAGTGTCTACAGTGTGTGCCTATTGAGCTGTTTAGAGCCATGTGGGACAAAACCCGATCCTGCCCCTCCCTCTCCCTGTTTAAGTCAATGGTGACTGTAAAAACTACACTGCGCATGCTCAGAGTATTGTCCTATTTAATGTGTGTGGCAAAAAAATAATGACCATAGGGGCATAGAGCTGCCATCCCCACCATACGTCATCTCACATCATTCAGAGCTGATTGGCTGTAAGTACGTGTGCCGCGAAAAGTGTGGTGTGTGTGAAGAGGAGGAGAGAGAGCTGCAGTGAGGCGTCCTACAACCCGGAAATAAACTGCGCATGGCTTCCCTCCACAAAAAAGCAATGATATTTCTCCATAGGATTTTAGAAAATAGCTCCAAATAAGATCTGTGGGAAACAAACCTGTTAGATAAATGCACGTTTTGTTCAGCCGGATAATATCCACATGTCTACCCTACTTTTATAATTTTCGAATCATAAATCTATTGATTAGATCAGATTTATGATAGACTTTTGAAACTACAAGAACATAAGGAGGACTTTTACAAAAAAGTAATAGAGATTTTTGTCCAGAAGGATAGGCAAATGGACTTCATCTTCATGTCAAGGTAAGACTGCAATTTTACCACCGCCATGAAAATGGGATCTTACTAAGAGAGAACAATTCAATATTTAAATGATAAAATTAAATTGTTTGGGTATCCTTTTGTTGAACTGTCTGTTTAAAATTAATTGAAGCATCAGACAAAAAAAGCTTTTGAAAATAATATTATATTTTGATTTAGGTCAAAATATAATATTTGTAAACCTGAAGAGTCAGAGCCTCACCAGCCATGAACCTCAGAAGCTTATATATAGACATCTAAGTTTTGTGTGCCCCACCACTTTTGTACATATAAAAACGCCACTGTATACAGTCTATGGTTAAAAGCAGAGAACACATTTCACTGTGTGTGACCATTAAAGAGGGTTTCATCCCTCCCAATATTATATTGTAATCATCATGAACCTGCAATGTATTTCCTTACCCAAACTGCTTTGAAGTGACATCCAAGGTTTGCCTCTTCTTCACAGTCCAACATGATTTGAGGAAACTAAGGCTGTGCAAATCACAGACCTTTCATCTCTCCCTTTGCATTAATTTATTCTCTTTGAACCTCTTCCATGTTTTAGTTGACATTAAGTCGAAATAATTCAGCAGTTTTCGACGTGATAGAAAACAGTGAATGTTGGCACACACACCATTCCGCCATCTTTTGTTTTCATGCTAATGTTTGACCAGCTGTGAAAAATGCTGTAGGATTTTTTAAGTTGCTTAACACCTTAAAAGGTCCCATGTCATGGCCATTTATACTGATCATAATTCCATTGTTGAAGTCTACTAAAATAGATTTATATTGTTTTCCAAAATCACATTGGTTGTGTATTCACTCTCTGTCCTAAACGGCTTGTTGAAGCTCCTCCTGCCCCCCCCTGCAAGAAACCCCACCCACACACACACACACACACACACACACACACACACACACACACACACACACACACACACACACACACACACCACACACACACACACACACACACACACACACACACACACACACACACACACACACACACACACACACACACACACACACACACACACACACTTTAATTACTCCATTGTTGACCACTGTACTGCATGTGCTGCTCTCTGTAATAGCTTAAAAGTAACTGATTGCGAGGAGCAGTGTGACACAGTAAAATCTGGGTTTAAAAACCCATAAAGAAAGAAAGAAATGCCTTTATAAGGCTTGTGCCCTCTTAGTATCTTTTCACGCAGAAAACAATAGCAGCATTGATTCTTATCAATTTGCAATCACTACTCAGACAAGTTATTCTTATACATTCCTTAGCTCCATACCTCACATTGTCTGAAGGAACGTGCTAATCCGCTTTGGTGAAAGCGGAATGAAGCAATCCGCAACGAAATTGATTAAATTATGCAAATGTCGTCTTTGTGAGTGTCACGGCTGGAGTTAGCCGTCTTGTGGGTGAGCAGCGAGTTGCCTCATGCACGCAGCAGTCCTGAACTGAGGCTGGTACAGCTGAGAAAAGCCACGCGCTGACGCTGACGCTGACGCTGACGCTGACGCTGACGCTGACTGCAGCTCTCTCGAGTCCTCAGGCCCGAGCAAAGGGTGCAACTCCACAGCACGCTCATCTCTGTTCAAAACTACATTTTTAAGCAGCTCAATATTTGTCTCTTCTCCTGTCTGCTCATCTTTCTCACTCTTCTCATCCGCCGCTGGAAAGTCCATTCCCAGATAAAATAAGTCTTTAATTCCTCTCACCTCCTCCTCTCCTTTGTGTTCTTGATCTGATGTTTCAGAAAGCTCCTCCACAGAGTTGTATAAGCAGGAGAGCCGCAGGTCGTCCATCTCTCCACCTCGGCAGCTGTCCAGCTCCCACAAGCCACCAACGAAAGGTCCAGAAATGTCTGAGTTGTTGGTAGAGAAGTTGCCTTCGTCGCTTGAGCTGTTGCCGCTACCGTCCTTGTAGTGGAGGTGAGAGGGCTGCTGCTCCTGTTTCAGACCAGAGAGCAGCACCGTGGCGTAGGTGACCAAAGAGTGAGTAGAGCTGTCATTGCTGCCTGAGGTCTGGTCTAGTAGTAGTAACTCATCTATTCTTGACCGGGAAATGGTATTCACATTTAGGGCTAAGGACGTTCCACTTAGGAGCCCCTCACTCTCGCTGGGTTCAGCCGGGTCAGCCTCAGTGTCAAACCCCGGAGTAAGGGACATGGAAAATGCAGGGGCTGGAGTTAGGGACACACATGGGGCTTGGACTAAAGCTTTATTCATAGCCGAGAGATCTGTTTTGTCCAATATGGAAGCTTTAGAAATGTTCTCAGAGGGCAGGGGCAGCGGCCAGGTTGACAGACCCTCTGAATGTCTGAACAGGAGGTCAAAGGTGGCACCCTAGAACAACATGCAAAAACAGATAAAGCATTAGTTTGTGTATTATTATTAGCTTACTATAAAGCCCAGTAACCAGTATTACATTTCCTAAATGTAAAAATGACAAAGAAATATTAATTTACAGCACTGCCCTATTGCTTTGTATGATGGAATTTACAGTGATTCAATATACATGTAGGTTTCTACAAAATGTTCTCAGACAGAAGGGTGTCGCCCTGACCATTGTCAGGCAATTATCATATGGATGTTAGGGGTTGTAATTAACATGCTGCGCTTCCCCTTCTGTCTGCCCAGTCCCAATTTAGGACTGTAATGTGGATTGCCTTCCTTCCTGTGTCTCATCTGTATAAATGACATTGCTTTTCTGTGTAACGGGGTCAGATCATGGTACTATCTAGTGCAGGACCTCTGTCCTTTCCAACTGGAAATATGATTGATTCTGTTAAATGCTATAGCTCTTTATTAAATAACACAACTTTGGTTTAAGCTTGTATATTTGTTCTTTTCTTACCAGAAGGTGATTAAGTGTGGAATTTCCACCACACTTTGTACATTGCTTTGGGCAAAGGCATAATTGTATTGAATTAAAGGACAAATGTAACACTTTATAAAATGCACTAACTTGCTTTCCTGACAGTTGGATTCGACTAATGACGTATAGCTGTTTTAGTTTAAAGACCGGACTGTCTGAAAGGTGACAAAGCGCGATGAAACAGTGTAAAACAAGTTTTTTTTTGGGAAGTTGTGTCCAGGATTATATGAAAGGTTGATACAAAACAAATCATGACCATGAGTTATCATTTAGGAATAAATAGTTTTATTTTGTACCTTTTTGAAGTCTAGTCCTTTGGCCCAGGAGCACTGGTTTGGGTTGGGCACTTTCTTCCAGACAATCTTCTTCATCCTAGAGAGAATTGCAGCAGATATTTAGAGTACATCCTTCTTTGCTATAGGCTTCTTTGTCTCCTCTCACCCCCCCACACACACACTTCCCTGCAGATAACAAGTGTAATTACGCCCTTGTGACCTGTTCAATGCCCAACTCCTAATTTGTCATGGTCAATGTGTCGGCTCTATAAATTAGACTGCACCACATAGACTGCCATAATGTGTCATTACTGTGTCTTGGTAAAAGACTAAAACTTAAGTCATATAATTGACACATGTATCAAGTATACCTTCGTGTATTTCTGTAAGATACATTTGGATGTTACCCAAAACATTAACAATCATTATTTAATGAACATAATTCCTTAGGTTAAATCCTTGTAATTGTAGTTAAAAACTTGTAATCCTGGTTCTAGGGGGGGGGGGCAACAGGGCGCAGTGCCCCCGTAACACTGACCAGGGACCCCCCTGTGGCCACCCTCCAAAAAAAAAGCAACATTATGATTTATTGGAACTAAATCAAATCAGAGACCCGGATGTACAGTGGAGATTAAACTGTTCATTACCTCGTATAAAAGCAAATACTGTTTATGTTTTTTAATTAAATTATCACTTAAAGTTACTAAAACAAATACTCTAAATGAAAAAAACTACTGAAACAAAAAGGACTGTAACTTACATTTACTAAAACAAATACCTTTACAAAAACAAATACCAAATACCAATTACTGTATTTTATGTTTTTTACACAATTACTTTATACTGTCTTTGTCTTTTTAACCCGCTTTTATTGTGCCCCTCTCATTAAATAATTGGTCTAGAACCGCCACTGAAAAAGAGGCTCTTACTGGTTCTGGGAGAGGATGAGGGTGACTAACAGGACGATGGAGAGGAAGGCGATGATCATGAGCATCATGTAGGCAGCAGGGTCTTCTCTGGTGGCTGCAACTGTTGAAAAAAAATACATCAGAGCTATACTTAATTAAACAGTGGAAGTGCTGGAATCCTGTCATCCTTGAATTTTGAATAAAACAGCCAGAAATGGACAGCCTACCTTTAGCGTACATTGGCTCGCCTTCTCCATCAGCAAACACAGGGTACAATTGGAAGCCAGAGTCCTCTGAGCCTAAAAAATCACCTGTAAACGATACATTGAAATCATGTTTGCATACTCACTCTCACCCAAAGAGATCAAAATAAGGAACATTGAAGAGATTGTGTTACCTCTCAGGTAGATGGGACGCTTGGTGTAGGGCAGTCTGGCCCAAGTGTCACTGCTCCGGCCTTTGTGAGGGTCATAGCCCTGCTGCCTCTGTGGAGACCACTGCACTACCATGTACAGAGGCACTGAGGGAGGGTCCAACAGGCTCCAGGACAGAGACACACAGGTGCTGTTGATGACCAACACACTGAACGAGTGCACACAGCGGCCTGCAGAGAGGGAAAAGAGTTTCTACCAGGTGACGAGTTTTCATATTATTGCATAACTTCAGGAAATCGGAAAAAAAATGTACCCTCCATGTATCTTTAACTCCGCTATAGAGAAACAGAACACCATTCTCAGAAAGAAATATCTACTACTCCTGTGTTTTGATGAGGGATTTGGAGAGAACTGCACGCCCATTGTCTAGCAGCCTGACGGGAAGTATCCAGATTCATGTGTCTGCAGTTTCTGTTTTTTTGTCTGCTGTGGATTAAGCTGCAACAATTAGTTGACTGACAGACGACAGGATCAGCATTAATGCTTTTGCCGACTAAGTTATTTATTAATGGAAAAATGGCAGAAAATCGTGTTTTCACAACCTTTGATATGGAGATTCAGCACTTTTCTTTATTTGTATTGTTGCAGCTCTTAAAGTGAGCTTGGATTTTCACCAAATTCTGAGAGAAATATCAGACCCTTCAAGCTTAAGGCACAAAGGATTATTTTTAGAAGGAAGTAGTTGCCTCCTGCAGCTCAAAACATTCATGACAAGAGTAATGACAGTGAATAAGAAAAGTAAAGTTGAAGGCTGAAAACATTGAACTTAAAGACGCTAAAAGGTTTTAGAAGGGGTTGGATGGATAAATGACGACCTACCACTTGATCGAATTTCAGTGTTAATAAAAAAGTATTGATCTGAATAAACGAATAGAGAATCATGACAAATACAGATGCTTCAAGAGAAAAGGTAATTCATTAGTTTGCTAAGTTCGATGGGGATTATAAGATACAGTCTGAATCATTACCTACCATACAAATGTTCTCTGAATACTTATGGAAAAATGTCTCATAAACAACTTTCTTTGTAATATACATTACACATCTTTGCAGTCGTATTTCAATGACAACTCACACATTTCACCCAAACATCCTGTGTCTAACAAAAAACTGTCATCAAAAAAATATCTCTGTTGGAGTGCTGCTAATAATGTTTACTACACTACAGCTAATGGCAGCAGGGGCTCAATCAGGGCTCTCATAGGCTCTCCAGAGACAAATGTGTTAAGTGCAATGTCCTAATGGATGGCTGTTTGTGTCCCCAGGCTTTGACGGAGATGTCCTCATGTCACGTATCATATCATGGTCATAGTGGAAAATTCTCTGTCAAACAGCTCAGAGGAAGGACATTTTTGCCTGATAATGATGATCAACAAAATTATTTTGTGTCATGTTATTTTTGAAACAATGAAGATGATGTTTAAAGGGGCTCAAAATCATAAAAGTAGATTTTTTTAAAGACACTTTTTTTTACGCTGCTATGGACAATTTGCAATAAATGCACATTCTATGGACAATCATGCACCAAAGATATTGATATTGAAGTGACTGTTATTTTGTATATATTGAATGTTGTGTTTTTTATCTTAATGTGTGCATACGTGTAGATGTGTCTGTTGATTGTGTATATAGGATATACATTATGTTATACATATTTGTATACACATCGGTATATTGTATAATTTTATATTCGGGATTGTTGGAAACGTAATTTCGATCTCTCTGTCTGTAAACACAAACTGAGTAAGATTGACTTTAAAGTTGACTTTGACTTTGATGTGTGTATGAGAACACATGTTTAATTCCTTCTCTCAAAAGGTCAGAAGAAATACAAATAAACACATTTTTCACAATATGAAAATCTTTACTCACGTTTGGGCTGTTTCTCCAGTGTCATGTTGATGTTGTTAGCGGAGCTCCCCAGATTGTTGTAGGCCTCCACGGTCACAGTTTGGGGAACCTGGTTCCACTGGAAGCTGTAGGAGGAGGCCAGCTCCATCTGCTCCCTCCTCACAGAGCCACTCAACGGCTGGTACTGCACTATAAATCCATCCACACAGTAAGAGCGCACGGATATTTGGAGAGGCTGCAAAACAAAAAATAACATTTTTATTAGATTGAATTGTGTTATTACAAGCCTAGACATGTTTGTTTTAGATTCTTACTTCCAATAGTAGAGTAACATTAGTCTGGTTTCTGTGTGGATCATCTTGAAGGATTCTCCAGAAATCAGGGCCACGCTCAGGAGCTGAGAGGCAGACCAACAATACATTAGAGGATGGCTTTCACCATTATGTTAGCGGTAGAGTTTAATTCTTGGTCTAGTACAATCAGTAAAACACTCTTAGCATTCATACCCACAGAAGTGACACTATATTACAACCACTAAGACAAACACAACCAACACCGCCTCAAAGCCTAATAATAATAATAATCTCTAGTACAGTGGTTCTCAAATGGGGGTACGCGGACCCCTAGGGGTACGTTGGAGTACTGCAGGGGGTACGTGAGATTTATTTTATGTTAATGAAAAAAGAACATAAGTAATGCATTTAAACAAACTACTAATAGTAGATTAACTACTTTATTCAAAGGTTTACAGTAATTCTGGATAATAAAATGGGGAAAATAAACGGGGTGCTCTTTTCTCACTACATTGTAAGTACAACTTATTAAAAAGATCAGACACCGATGGTGCACCACTGCACTGTACCTCTTTATATAGGCATTTTTTCCTTAACAAATAGTTTTTGCGCTGATCAGGGGGTACTTGGCTGCATTTTTTTTTTCAAAGGGGGTACATGATTGAAAAAAGTTTGAGAACCACTGCTCTAGTATATAGAATTCAATGGCTTGCATAATTGAGAAAATAAATCAACTGATGTACTACTTTTCTGAATTACAAATAAAGTAGGATGGACAGCTTTATGCATCCTGTCACATCTTCCAGAACAGCAAAGGTTAACAAAAAAAAGTAATACAAACTTCCTTTTTTGTTAAAACATGTTGTATTACTTTTTGAAAACATAAAACCGACTGTAATGAAATACATTAAACCGTTGCTGAATAAGCTCAACACAGCGGGAATAGCAAATTACCATTTGAATCACAGTAATATAATGATGTCTGTCTAAACTAAATGATTGGTTAATATAAAGAAATGTGTATCATGGGAGTCATTTTCAGATCAGGATGAAAGTAAAGGTGCCAAACTGTACCTCTGCTGTTCTGGGGAGTGGAGTAGACTGAATCGCTCCACTCGCTCCAGTAGCCGGTGCCTTTGGTGTGCATGCAGCGTGCTTGCACCACGTACACCCGGCACATGTCCGACACTACAGCCTCCGCCCCCCTCTCCCGCACTGGACTCTGGACCTGCAGGCATGACATTTTCACAGTTATTAAGTGGTCATTTTATTTAAAAGAAATGAAAAATAGCTTATCTGGGGCGATTTCATCCATACTTCACTCAAATGAAGATAGACATTTGCTTCCTCGTCTTTCTCATCATTTGATATCATGTCTCCAATTTCCAAAAGAGGACAGGAATATAGAATTATTTTAGATCATGTCACAACTGACCCGTTGTGTTTATGCTAAAGCATCCTGCGTCATTTAAAGGCCTCCAATTATGCTATTTTTAGGCATATATTATGGGTCTCAGATATATTAAAAATATATAAAAACATGTCTATGATGTGTTTTGCTCAAAATACCAAACAGATCATGCATTTTAGACATCCCTCATATCCCTCTATTTCAGCCCTGTTAGAGAACTACTGATTCGGGTTCCTTAGCTTGAACAAAAAAAAGAAAAGAGGAGGGGGAGCTAATGCCTGCTCAGAATTCTACCGGCAGATACAGCTAAATGCTGCCGTGATTAAACGCCATGACATGTTCCAAACCACATCAAGGATTATTTCTGAAACAGTATGGAGCTCAAATGCTTTTTCTCTTGTGGGTTTACCACAAGGTGAGTATCTTTTTTTATTTGCTGCTTTTTTACACATGCTCTCTCCAGTACAGGTTAGCTCTGAGTGTTAGCGATGCTAATGTAAACAAAGACCATATTACGTCGAAAACAGTCGGGCATTGTTTCTGATAGCAACGTTTCTGATAGGGCCGTGGGCCAGCCCACACGGACGCAAATCTGGATCAGCTCCGTTGTTCCCCCGTTTTTAGAGATTTGGGTATGGAGGAAAAGAGAGAGGGTTTTATTTTCTGACACTTTGTGAGTTTCCTGACACACCGGGGACTAGGGGTGTAACGGTTCACAGAAGTCACGGTTCGGTTCATACCTCGGTTTGGGGGTCACGGTTCGGTACGGGTTCGGTACAACAAGGAAAAGCAAAAAAAAGTCCCAAATGCATTTTTTTTTAACAGTAGTGCAAGTTTTGGTATGCAAATAAGGAATTCTAACATTTGGAATCATTAACTGTATTACACAGTTAAACACAAACCACAAACAGTAACACACACACTCAGATGGCCATATTATTTATATTGGCTGATGTCAAACAAAAAGGTTAAATAAGCTGTATAACTAAAAAGAATGTCTTGAAAATATTTAAATAAATAATAAGAAAGTGTTTCAATCACAATTAATAAAAGGCAATACAGAACTGTATAACATCTGATGTCAAAATATAAAATAAATACAATGATAAATATAAAACAAAATAAAATCTGTACCTTTAGGAGCAATGTCTAACATGTGTAATTAACTTGTGAGTGTGTGAGGCCATTATGCCTAAATAAAGGTACTCAAGCTTTACTCTATTTTCAAGTTTTTCTTCAAAAAGATGAGTTTGTCTACGTTGTCAGTAGTGAGGGCAGATCTGTTGGCGGTAACTATGTCACCTGCCGTCGAGAAAACCCTCTCGCTGGGGACTGAGACTGACTCGGATGTGATTGAGCATGTTTGACGTGTTACCACTAGCATACCGCACCACTGTCGAACAACGCCGACACACCGTCCTAGTCCGATCCACAACTCGCACCCCATCATTGTTGTTGTCCACAGGGAACCCGAAATGTTCCCACACACCTGATTTAAAAGAAGCAGGTGGGTCTTATAGCTCCTGTGTGTTGTGTGAACTCGCCATAGCTACTAACTGTTCTTCTTCATTCGTTTTGTTGTGTTATGTTCTTGTTCTTCATTTGTTATTTACGGGCGGCTGGCTTTTAGGCGCAATACCGCCCCCTGGATTATATATAGTATAATACTGCCCTGAGTGACAGACTTTTTTTTCCCACTCGTAACAAAAGGCGTATTCGCTGTGTGACTGCATGTGCCGAACCGTGACGTCCGAACCGTGACGGTACGGGACGAATACGGATACCGTTACACCCCTACCGGGGACACATATTTATGTATGAAGGACATTAAAAAGTGCATTTTACATGGTAGGTCCCCTTTAAGACTTATTTACCGGCAGAGTCCTAGACAGGGTTTACTTCTAGTTCTTGAAAGATAAACTACCTTCTTAGACATTATGGAAAGATAATGAGATGTGAAGCCTGAGGTTGGTAAACAGTCCAACAAACCAGCTTACCTTCCACTCTGGCTGTGCTCTGACAGCGGAGGGCGACTGGTACCGAAACTGACACTGGAGCCCATCGGAGGGCAGAGAGGGAGGCTCCCATGTGACGTTTAGGACCCCACTGCTCCGGGTCACTGCCTTCACATTAGTGGGGGTGTGGGGTTTCACTGCAGGGGTAATGGCATAGAAGAGTGAGTGAATCTCTTACAGCTGCAGAACACCTAATAAACATGATCGCCGGTAATGGAAAAAACCTGACAAATATTTATTTCTACATTCTTACCTCATGCTGTTAATCATTTTTTGTTCTGTGACTAGTAAGCACTACTACGACCTCAATATTTAAAATGTTCTCTTCAAACATACAACTGTTTCCTGTATGAATATTTAATGTGGCAGTGCTTTTCTCTGCAGTACATTTTTGCCTTCAACATTTATTTTATAGTATATCTAAACTTAACAGAAGAAAACTAATACTGTGTAGATATTTCCACATGCTTTTTTATTTTTGAAATATGATATTATCATAAATGACAAGAGGCAACTCATGTTTGATGGACAAGAAAGATGCCCTGTTTCTACTTTGGTCAAAGTCTCAAGCAATTTGTTAAAACTTTGTATGTCACTGATACAAAATCAATGCATGCTTAATGACAGATATACTGTAAAACGGCTAAGATGTTGAGGTGGGAGGAGTGCCACTTTATCTTAAAACACTTTCAAATCCAACTAAATCCCCCTTTTTCACACTTTTCTCTTCTTTTTAATTTTGATATGTTCCTCACACAAATCCATCTTGCTCACCATGATCTGTGGGTGTGAGGTAGATGGGTTTAGATCTGATGGGCCCTAGCAGTGAGGGCACCTCCAGCCATAGCTTGTAGCAGTTCATCCTCAGAGGCTGGAAGGTGCACTTTGTCTTCATGGTTCGAAGAAACGGCAAGCAGGAAGGCCAAGGAGGCCCCGTCTGCCCCACTTCCTCCCCCCTTTGTTCCCTCTTCTCCATCACATCGCACGGCAGGTCAGCCCACCTGAAGAGAGTAAGAAAAAGAGGTATAATTTACTTCTAAAATACACTCTGATCATTATAGCTCAAAAGACAATGATACAGTATGTCAGTCCCGGATTAATGGATAATTCAAAGTAATTTCTGTAGCTTTTAACATCATTTCAATTGAATATGATGACATTGTAGTCATCAAAGGAATTGCTATGATCTTGGAGAAGGACATCTTTTGCTGGATTCAAGTCAAATGAGAAGTGATTATATGTTCAGGCAAGAGAAAAGATTAGCCAGGTTATCAAAACATGGAGGGAAACTGAAAGTGATCGCACCTCAAATATCTGCATAATGCTAATTTGCATGCAAAACTGGTTCAGGCACAACTCATTTCTTCAACCAAATAATTGTGTGGATTTGTATAAAACATGTATCATGGTCTGACTGCTCATGTTTCTTGCCCCTTCTTCTTCTTCTTCTCTTACTGTACACGCCTTTTCAGCGATATTGCTGCATTCCCAGATCTTAGCAATTCAACTTGCAGTCACACATAAGATTGGTGACATAACTGTGCAAATGAGAACTACATTGTACACAATTGTACACAACACTTAGAATTACAACTGTTCTCATTTAAAAATAATAATATGGACAGATGGAATGAGGTATTTTTTCAGTCTCTATTCAGGAGAATTAGAGGTAACAGAGTACATAATCATGTGGCACAAGAGAGTTATGAAACACTCAATCCATCATTTTGTCAGTCCTCATTGTGTTTCTGTGTTAAAAGTGTAAAGACCTAGTGTTTCTGTAAGGCCAGAAGCCTTACTGCTGTTGACTTATTGTTTACTTAGGAAATAAACTTCCCGATATCCTTTGGCACATACTTTATTGCTGTATTCACTTAAATGTCCGGTACACTTTGTCCAGGAAATGTGTGATTCAGCACACAGACTTCAGATGTTTCATTAACAATGCCATAGCTTGCACAAACATCCATGGAGACAGTAACTGTAAAATGTGGTAACACTTTATATTAAGGTACACAAATTAACCATCAACTAGTTGTTAATTAGCATGCATATTAGCAGTATAATGGCTCTCTATTAGTCATTATACAACACTTATTAATGCCGTATTCTACATGACCATATTCTACAAGTAATAAGCCATTAGTTGAGAGTTTTTCCTCAATAACACTCTAATTAGTGCTTATTTATTGCAAGTAAGGAAGTTGTTGTACATGAGTTTTGGTCTTAATATGCGCTGCTTAATATGGGCGTAATAAGGCAGTAGTAGCACAAGAATAGTAATTCTCCCATAATAACACTTAACAAATATGATCTATTCTTATGGAACAAGACATGAAACTATAAGTTTAGACTACTGCAACTCCCTCCTGGCTGGTCTACCTGCATGTGCCATCCGACCTCTGCAGCTCATCCAGAATGCAGCGGCTCGTCTGGTTTTCAACCTTCCTAAATTCTCCCACACCACTCCGCTCCTCCGCTCCCTTCACTGGCTTCCGGTAACTGCTAGAATCCACTTCAAGACACTGGTACTTGCTGACCGTGCTGCGAATGGATCTGGCCCTTCCTACATCCAGGACATGGTTAAACCGTACACCCCAGCGCGTGCACTACGCTCTGCATCAGCCAAACGACTCGTTGCGCCCTCGCTGCGAGGGGGACCCAAGTTCCCATCGGCGAAAACACGTGGGTTTGCTATCCTGGCTCCAAGATGGTGGAATGAGCTCCCCATTGACATCAGGACGGCAGATAGCTTGCACATCTTCCGGCGCAAACTGAAAAACTCATCTCTTTCGACTCCACTTCGAGCGTTAGAACGATTAACGAAGCACTTTTATACCAATAAAGGACTGGATTACCTAAAGCCAGTTGAGTAGCACTTGAAATGTTTGGCTCTATGAAACCTGATATACTTATATGATTCTGTTTTCTTCAAGGTTGTGTCTTCCTGGTCGAATGTACTTATTGTAAGTCGCTTTGGACAAAAGCGTCAGCTAAATGCAATGTAATGTAATAAGTGTTAATTGTGTCTAAATAACTCAAAATTAGGTATTTATATCTTATAATATGTTTTGGGGTATTGACAATTCAGCTACCAACAGCAAGGTGATATTGACCAGTATGTTTCATATTTGCACATTTATATTTTTGTAAAATGTGTACTGAAGGTTAGACCCGGGTACAGGAAGTAGGAGAACGTGAACGGAATATAATGGCAGTAGACATCCATGAGTACACTGCCACTAATTTTCCCTATGCAACCTGGAGAGTAAAAGGGTCAAGTCCGTCAGAAAGAAATGACTGTAAGTGTAAGTGTGAGCCTTACACTTACACTGTAAGGATTAGTAACATGTATTGTGTTTATGTGATGACATGTGGAGATGTTTAAACTCAATGAGAAAATGCGTTAGCATTCGCGCTAGCGTTAGCATACATGCTAGCGTTAGCCATACTAGCCTGTATACATGCTTATTGTACAGCTAGCATTAGCTATGTTTACCTTGTTTACACTAAGCGGTCCTAATGTGTTCATCTGTGTATGTTACACTTGCATGTATGAGATCATTAAGTGCCTTGTAACTTCTTTTTTATAGTTTCACTCCGTTTGAATGTCACTGGACTGCAAATAAGTCAATAAAGGAGCATGGCTGCTCATTCCCTGGCTCTCAAAAGAGTTTGGCTGGCTGTTTAATCTATGTTCACACTGAGACAACACAGAGAGAGAACAGTACACCTATTGTGTAAGAACATACAAGCAGGTCACACAGTATGATCACAAATACATAAACTGTTAAAAATCAGTTTTTATTAAAAAGTACAGGCTGCATATATGTTCTCAGCCTTGGAGAAACTTGACATGTTTTGGTACATGTATGTGTCTGAACCTCTCTTTAGTGGTTCATTAATAAAACAGATATTTCAACGTGTGCCTACTTTGTTCATGTACTGTTGAGGTTAATTTCAGTAGTTGTGTGCTATAATGTATTTACAAAGTGTGAAGAGGAGGCAACTTTAGAATAGGGAACCTGTTCTGGTCAATTAGAGTCAAACTAATAGCTTATTGGTTATGAACAAGACTTCACTTTAGAATAGGGAACGTGTTCTTAGATATAAATAGCTAATTTTGAGTTGTTTAGACTTAATTGACACTTGTAGTTTCATGTCTTGTTCCATAAGAATAGATTATATTTGTTAAGTGTTATTATGGGAGAATTACTATTCTTGTGGTACTACTGCCTTATTAGGCCCATATTGGGCAGCGCATATTAAGACCAAAACTCATGTACAATAAGTTCCTTACTTGCAACAAATAAGCACTAATTAGAGTGTTATTGAGGAAAAACTCTCAACTAATGGCTTATTACTTGTAGAATATGGTCATGTAGAATAAGGCATTAATAAGTGTTTTATAATGACTAATAAAGAGCCAATATACTGCTAATATGCATGTTAATTAACAACTAGTTGATGGTTAATTTGTGTACCTTAATATAAAGTGTTACCTAAAATGTAAATTGCCTGCTTACCTGTATCTGATTTTAGGGTTAGTGTACAGCGTGTTCGTCCAGCTACATTCCATAGCATCGATATCACCACTGGTTTCACAGTTTATTTTGATGTATGCTCCTAGGACACACACAGAGAAATACACAATAACAAACTTCACCTGAAGTAGCCTCTGAGTACTGGGGTTATTTTGGTTCACATTGTTGTTCTGTGGCATGTCACCACTCTCTTTCCTGTCTTTGTCCACACAGGGACTTTCAGGAACTTCAAAAGATCAGAGGGGATATGTTGATGTTCGACAATCACAACAGGATCATCAATGTCTTATACTGTAAATATACGATTTCTAAAGATGGAGTCTCTTTTCTGTAATATTTACCTTTGATGTGAATGCACACAAAGGCTTACCTTCTACATAGATCCGGCTTTGTGCCTGGGTCCAGTTCTTAGTCTTGCACTGCAGCACTGCATACATCTGAGTCTCTGAAGGACGAAATGTGATTTTGCTCACCTGGTTTGCGAACGAAAAGACAAAAATAATTGTAATTTACATTGACTTCTCTTAAAATACACAGGGAAGTCATTAAACTAGTTAGAAATGTTCCCAGAAACACACAAAACCTGAAGGAAAATATGTGTTCCTTACCCATTGGTTGAGCGGATGGTACAGACTACGATTAAGCGTCTGATTGGGGTTCAAGTTGAGCATCCATGTGGCCGTGCTGGCATTGATGCTGCGGTCGTTGAAGACACAATACATCGTGACATTTTCCCCAGACTGTGCTACAACTGTCTGAGGGATGTAGCTCACCGCTGCACACACACAAAAACATCACGATATTGTTTGTTTGTTCTTTTTACTTTTTGTGATTAACAGGATCTCTCTTACGACATTTCTTATTATATAAATGTCATTGAAAGCTCAAAGTTGAAAACCCGAAGCCAAATGGATGTCAAACGTAACAAAGAAGAGAAAAAACAAAACCCTTCAGTGAACAATTGCCTGACTCATTTTCATTTAAAAAAAAATGTTTTTCTACAAAAGTAAAACAACTTTTTTTGTATGGAACCTGCATTAAGAGTTGTCCTCCAACCACCTCCTCAGATGCAGCCTAAGAAAACATCTTCATGGAGTCAAAAGGAAAACAAACTGAATGACACATTGCTAACAGTGCTTATTGAAAAACTTTCCAAAACTTTGCTGCTTTTCTATCCCTTTCAGTATTTCATTTGCAGTAAAGTAACGTTTCTGAAGTTCTTTTCGGTGAAATTACTCAGAGTTTCAAACTTTAAAACCTGACACACGGACATGTTTTTGCAACAGGGTCAGCTTTCCTCATGTGATACAGAGAGGAGCAACACTCTGTAAACAGCAACGCATACACACAAAATAGTTATAGCAGATATGCTCACACACTAATGACAAACCCTTAGCGCTGGCAGCTACTGGTCTGCTGATGTTCACATTTTAATTAGCAGCCTGATATTGCAGAAAACAAACAGTGCAAGTTATGTATAGTTTCTGATTGAAAAGATAATTCAAAGTGTACACAAATCTTGGTCTAATTTCTCAACTCTTAGATTCATCCTTTCAATACCTTCATGTTCGGCTTGTTGGCCACATGTTTAGCATTTACCTATTGGTAAAGCAACACTGTGTCACCCCACATGATTTGTAGCTTGTCACTAGCCTAGAGATCCTCTGGTTCACAGTCTATTGATGTGGACCACACTGGAACGAGTTCATTTGAATAGTTTAGCATTAACATAAATCTTCCTGAGAGATAATGAGGTCATTTGGGGAAATCTACCACAGTGAGGGGTGTGTGTTGGATCGCAGCAGTTGAACCAGACAGTTTCAAAATGTTAGTTAGCCAAACTCTTTGCAAACAAAAAAGAAAATCTCACATCCTGATTTAAGGGCCTACACATACCCAGATAACCTCTCAGCTCAGTTCAGCTGTTTCAGTTCTGAAACAACACGCAAACTAACAAAGAGCAACCAATGTGATAAGAGTGACACAACGAAGACTATGTTTTTTATGTAAACAGGTCAGCTACTTAATATTCATACATGTATTAAGCTGCCTGCAACTTCTCCATAACAATCAACAAAACCCATCTAACATCTGTAATAATACAACAACACTTTCAGTTTGAACAAGAGTACAAGATCAAAAATATCACCTTGTATGTCTCTATCTAGCGGTAAGGAAATTGTGCTTACAGTACAGGTAGATGTGGTGACGTTCACTCCACTCGCTCCACAATGGAGGCTTGTCCAGGCCGGAGGAGCGGACCTGGATGGTGTAGTTCAGTTCGGGCTTCAGCTCCAGAGACAGCCTGGGCTCTTCTGATACAGACACCACCTGCACACCGGGTTATTATTGTAAATTAAAACTGAAGCTGAAACAAAAAACTGCTGTAATAGCTCAAAACATTGTTGTCCTTTGAGAAAAACTAAGAGAACATTTCCGTTGATGAAATGTAGCTATTCAGCTCAAGTCTAATGTTTAAGAACTGAGGTTGGGATGAAATCGAAGGAGGCCAGTTTAGTGTGGTTGTGAAAGGTGCTCAAGTTGATTCCCAAATCATAAGATGTAAACATTATGGCCATTCCTACACAGTTCTCCAACCATTATACCTTACTTTAAGAGGTACCTACAGCTTCTTATAGAGGGTTAAGAGAGAACATATTATTTTAATTGTATATTTGAGTCTTAAACAGAAGAACTACAGTCTGACCGCTGGATGAATCATAGAGCCTATGATCCACTGCTGAACACTAAGATCCACTGTGCTGAACACAGACGTGCCGACTACACACTACATAAACACAATGTCTTGTTAGTGGAAAGGTTCACTGCGTGAAAGCACTATTGTTGCAGTGAAAGGCAATTCAGTATGTGTATGTATGACTCGAGGTTAAAACTAACTTGTGAAAGTTTCTCTTTAACAACCTTACCAATAGACTATGAGTTCTTCAAGATCCACAGTATTTTTATCTTCTCTTTCTGAAGCTTATCTTGCATACTTTGCAAATTCCACCAAATATATTCTGTTTGAAACAAAATGAAAGCATGAAGCTGATCACTGAGGCAGTTTTGTTTTTTGTTCAAAGTAAAATAGTGACATTTTGGTACCACATCCAATCAGACAACCTTAACAAGCAATTATAATTAGTAACTGGTGGCTGCAGAGGATTTATATATTATGTAAAGCCTATAATAAGAACAATCATTGCAAAAAACAATGCTTATGAACCCTTTATGAAAGATGCCTTATTATCAAAAGCTACAGATGTTTTTAGATCAAATGACTCTCAGTGGGTGCAGTGGCAGACTCTTGCAAGGTATCACTTCTTGGATAGAAGTGCATATTGTATCAAAGCTGAATGTTACCTGCCAGGCTGGGTGAGTGGTGTTAGGAGAGTGCCGGACTTCGTATCTCAGCCGACCGGTATCAGAGTGGGGGGGGGTCGTCCCACTGCAGTATCAGTTCTGCCTTAATGGTCTGGATGTGTGACAGGTTGACTGGAGGACTCGGTTTCACTGCAGAAAAATAAAAGATTGTCTCACAAACAGAAGGACATCACAGCAGGATCAGTTTACTGCTAATCATAATGTCCTGTAAATCCTAAGGATTATTAGAACTGTATATGAAATAGAAGGATTTTCAACATATTGCTCTTAAAATTACAATATCTGAGTTTGTATGTGTTTGGGATTTAAAGATAAGCTCTGCAGCCTTTAAGGTCACTTAATACAGATGTGGTTATTAACCATGATATAACAGCACTCCACATCTAAAGGCGACCTTTGCAGTGATTACTATTATCTTCATAAAGACCAATCTTTACTTCTTGTCCTTATGCCAGGATTATGAAAATAAATTAGATTAATCCATCTCACGATTTAGTAAAAAATATTGACAAAAAAAAATCACTTTGCTTTTCAGTCTTGCATAGTGCAAGAAAAGTATGCACTTAAATGTCAGCCAATAATGAGTGGATTTTTAATCAAAACATACAGTTGGATATTTTTAATATTCAATGATTTATTCTTGGCAGTACATTAAGCTTAATATTTAGACTTATTGATCATTAAAAGGTGTATATTAGAGGCCAGCTCCCAGACTTGTATCTACTGTCACTCACTGAGACAGGTTGAATTATGACAAATATATATATATATATGTTTTATGAGACAATTGAGTCTCATAAAACACAGTGATGTCTACTGGGAGAGAAACAGTAATAATAGCTAAATAATGTATTTTCCAGACTGCTGTCATATCATTTAAAAAGACTGACTTTCTTGTTTTCCACCACTGAAGGTACTGTAAGGAGTGGACTAATTTAAACATGTTACCCTGCCTCTATTGGTAGACAGGAAATTGCCCTTTTCTTTTCATAGTCCTAACTTCATCACATTTGAATACACAGTCTTCAGTAATTTGAGCTTATTTTCATGGTTATAGAGGTAGAAAGATCTATTGATAGTTAATGAAGCATGTCCTTTCATTATGCAAATTGACCACACTGTTAAATACTCTAAAGCTGCACCACTTAGGAAAAATCATCTAAAAAGGCAGAAAATTAAAAAAAGACACGCATGAACCTCAGAGCGGCAACAATTAATTAGAGCAAGACATTTTAACAATTGTAATGATAATTCAAGCATTTTTTATTGACTTAACGCAAAGTATTTGATGATGTCAAGGGTCCCTATTGTAAACCGTTTTTCTTGGTCTTATATTGCTGCATGTTTTGAAGTTTTAAAAACCCGACACCATTTGTTGACGTCACCTCGGACCCTTGGGCTGATTAAACGATAATACAAGTAAGTGCCCAATGCAGCACACAGTTTTAACAAATACTTTAAGCTTTTCTCAGTACCACTTTCTAATAAGGAATACTTTGAATATCATTTATGATTTGTAACCAAATAGTTGAATATTACTATTATTTTACAATAATTTGTTTTTGTTTCTAAACTAATAATAAATAAATAAATAATGCTTCACACATGTTTAAAAGTTAAGAACAAGTTTAATGTTGCCAGATTGTGTACTGGGCAATGCCATCATTTAGAACTTGCCTTTATTATTACATTACATTGCATTTAGCTGACGCTTTTATCCAAAGCGACTTACGCGTTCGACCAACAAGATACAAACTTGAAGAAAACAGAATCATATAAGTACATCAGGTTTCATAGAGCCAAAACATTTCAAGTGCTACTCAACTGGCTATAGATAAGCCAGTCCTTTATTAGTATATAAGTGCTTTGTTAGTAATTCTATCGCTCGAAGTGGAGTCGAAAGAGATGAGTTTTCAGTCTGCGCTGGAAGATGTGTAAGCTATCTGCTGTCCTGATTTCAATGGGGAGCTCATTCCACCATTTTGGAGCCAGGATAGCAAACCCACGTGTTTTTGCTGATGGGAACTTGGGTCCCCCTCGCAGTGCGGGTGCAGCGAGCTGTTTGGCTGATGCAGAGCGGAGTGCACGTGCTGGGGTGTACAGTTTAACCATGTCCTGGATGTAGGAAGGGCCAGATCCATTCGCAGCATGGTACGCAAGTACCATTGTCTTGAAGTGGATTCTAGCAGTTACCGGAAGCCAGTGAAGGGAGCGGAGGAGCGGTGTGGGAAAATGTAGGAAGGTTGAAGACCAGACGAGCCGCTGCATTCTGGATGAGCTGCAGAGGTCGGATGGCACATGCAGGTAGACCAGCCAGGAGGGAGTTGCAGTAGTCTAGGCGTGAGATGACGAGAGCCTGGGCCAGAACCTGCGTCGCTTTCTGGGTCAGGTGGGGACGTATCCTCCTGATGTTGTAAAGCATGTATCTGCAGCAGCGGGTTGTAGCAGCGATGTTTGCAGTGAAGGACAGTTTGTTATCTAGGGTCACACCCAGATTCCTTGCAGTCTGAGTCGGGGAAACAATAGAGGTGCCGATGTTGATTGTCAGGTCAAGAGTGGGACAATCTTTTCCCGGAAGGAAAAGCAGTTCAGTCTTGTCAAGGTTGAGCTTGAGGTGGTGAGCAGACATCCACTGAGAGATGTCAGCTAGACAAGCAGAGATTCGTGCGACGACCTGGGTCTCTGAGCGGGGAGAGGACAGAATTAATTGGGTGTCGTCAGCGTAGCAGTGGTATGAAAAACCATGCGGGCTAATGACAGATCCGAGCGAGTTTGTGTACAGGGAGAAGAGGAGGGGACCAAGAACAGAGCCCTGAGGGACCCCTGTAGTTAATTGACAAGGGTCAGGGTCGGACTCGGACCCTTTCCAAGTTACCCTGTAGGTACGGTCTTTGAGGTGCCTAAACCCATTTAGTAGGTAGTCTGTGAATTACTAGCATTCAGTTTTACATTTGTATTAGGTGCAATAGCACTTATTTCATACATTACAATACAACACCTGCAGCACAGACATAACTGTAGCTACGGCAGAGCAAAAGTTTTCCAATTAAGGTAAAAAAACAAGGATAACTCCTTGGAGATGCATTTCATAAGAAGCTGCAAGGCCTAAAGTTCATAGAGAAAACAAATGTACATTATAAAACGGACAAGTCAAATCAAGATCTGATTGGTTCTTAGCCGTGATATAATGAGCGTATATCATAGGTAGAATTGTAGTTACTTTTCACAAGTCAGTATCCCTCCGTGTGAGAAAAAGCTACAACCGTTACATTACGTCCGTTACGAAACTAACTAACTAATAAAGCTTAATATGAAAACATTTAAGGTTAACTTCGACCTCCGGGGTGGCCTTACTATGGAGGATTGAGCAGTGCCTATCTCCAGAAAAAAAAAGCACCTAAACGACGACATGCAGAGCTACGTGAAGAGCAGGTAGACCAACTGGAAAAGTACCACCATTCAAAAGCTTTCTGATGCGGGTCTTGAAACAAAGCAGAGAAATTATGACCGTTAGTGGCCACAGGTGCGAAAGCTCTCTCCAGAGCTACTGGAAGCCGAATCTCGGGGACCGGAGAAAGTGGAGCAATATTCTCACCACACCAAGCAACAGCCTAGTACAGGGGTGGCCAACCAGTCAGAGGTTAAGAGCCAACAAATGTTCTATGTTACTGCAAAGAGCCACATCAAACACACAGTCACTGATACCGCTTGTTTCAGTTTTCTGGAGACAAGATTTCAACCACGTCACTGATGCATTTTTGTGGCATTGGGATATATTTGTTTTAAATCCTCTGGAGCAGAGAGAGGAGCTTATTGTTATTGATTAATGCATCAGTGTTTCTTAGGGTCAAAAACACTAAACTCACAACTTAAAATGAAAGCGTTTAGTTTATTTAATAAAAGAGCACATGTTCAATGTGAAAAGTGACAGTAGTTATAGATTATTTGCAATTTGGTGCTATATATATATAAAAAAAAAAAAATGATATATATTTTTTGGGCGAGGGGCTCCGTTGGCGGGGCGCAGCGCCCCTCCAAGACAATGGTAGGCGAAACACTGGATAGTGTTTAATCAACGATAGGTTCCCCCCCCCCCTCAAAGGTGATGGTTCACTGCATCGCAGGTATTATTGTGATTGGCTCTTGGGCCACATCAAAATTACCTGACACCACACATACGTGGGGAGATGGGGGAGAGCCGGGACGAAAGTAACACGGGACGAAAATAACGGAGCGATTTTATCCGAGCCCAAACAACTTTGACCGGCCAAATTACGTCAGAATTATCAACATTCAATACTTAACAGACCTACTAAATATCAGGTTTAACTGTCAGGAGTAGTGTTGTCACGATACCAACATTTTGGTTTCGATACCAAGTCAAGAATTGCGATTCCGATTCTTTTTCGATACTTTTCTTAAAAAAAGGGAAACAGTCTTAAATGTAATTATTGTGCTTTATTTCACACCAGAACCATAACCATAACACAACCTTTAAACAATGAGAACAATAAATAAAATAAATGACAAGAATTCGTATTAAATAAAATTAATAAATGTCTTACAGACAGGCCTCATGGTGTCCGTAGGCTTGCCCTCACTGTCAGAGATATAGCTAAAATACATCAAAAATGTCGCTTCTGGCGTCTTTTTTGTCAACAAGCCGAGGCGCAGCGGCAGTTGCACTCCCACTTGCAGCCATGCTTCTCGTTTTCTCACATGCTCTGGCAGCTAGTGCGTGCATGAGAGAGGGGAGGGACTTAGAGCGTGTTTGAGAGGGGCGGGACTGCAGGCACGGCTGCAGTGCAGGGATTGGAAGCAGAGCGCTGAACACACGGCTCTTATTAAAACGGCGCTTTCTCACCGGAGTACTTTTCCCCGTCATTCTTAAAGTACCGATAGGCCCAGGGGCGGATCTACCGGGGTGGCATGGGGTGGCAACTGCCACCCTAAACAATAGCCTTGCCACCCCAGCTGCCACCCCAGTTGGCATCTTTCTTTTGAAAGAAAAGTTGTGGCTCATCGGACATTTATGAGAGAAAATCTCTAATGTCCGAGTGCAAGTGAATGCAGCACAAGACGCGAGTCTTGTAACCCCTCCCCCGTCCCTGGCGCGAGAGTGGAAATAT